GAAAGAAGAGAATAATCTGTTTCAATGAAGTTGAGATGGGATCCTTATAGAGAAATCCATGACTCTCCAAAAAGTACCTTATTCTAATCTCTCCAACTTTTAGAAAAACGTATCTCATAACCTACAGAAGTTATGCAGGATATAATTCCCTCATTTTTAGAATTGCTTTGTACAGTATAATATATCCTGTCTGCATAATGTGTCAATACAGGTTTCTTTCTATGATATAATTTACATGTAAAGTTTTATTCACTCATAGTACTTGTTTCCACTTCACATTATTATGCAGAATGTTAAGTTCCTCTGTACTCTTCTCTGACGGCTTTCTCTCCCTTTTGAGATAAAAGCTGTAAACTTTTCATGGCTAATGACTACTCTATTACACAAAGACCCTGTCAAAGCTTTTAAATACCCATAGTGATCTTTCATTAATCTCTTGGACAAGTTAATTTCCTACAGTTTCTGTTGGGTATGTTTGTGGATACTGTGGTTCACTGAGTTATAGAAGAAAAACATTAAATTGGCAAATAAAGAATACAGGTAGGTAGGTAGGTAGGTAGGTAGGTAGATAGATAGATAGATAGATAATTAAAAGAAGGCATGATGAAAGATGTATGGTTAACAAGGATGTAGGGAATTATGGCCAATAAAGTTGAAATGGTAGCTACATAACCAGGTCTTAAACTTCTGATAAGCAATTCTAGCTTAAATTTGGAAGCAGATGTGATAAACAGTACAGTAAGTTAACTGGCAACATCACTCAGGATGGATTAAAGAAAATTTTTGTAAAAAATAGATTTTGAAATGTCTCTCAGGAAATACTATATTTTACCAGAAAAAAAGTAAAGAGTAAGCTAGTGAATCTACAGTGAATGAGGAAAATATATGATCTGTATGAATGATTTAAAGAGTATCAGGAACAGCCTGGGTGGCTCAGTTGGTTGAACGTCTGACTTCGGCTCAGGTCAGATCTCATGGTTTGTGGGTTCGAGCCCCGCATCGGGCTCTGTGCTGACAGCTTGGAGCCTGGAGCCTGTTTTGGATTCTGTGTCTTCCTCTCTCTCTGCCCCTCCCCAACTCATGCTCTGTCTCTCTCTGTCTCAAAAATAAATAAACTATAAAAAAAATTTAAAAAAAAAAGAGTATCAGGAACAATTTGCAACTAACATACTATAGGGGACAATGGCTAAGAATATTAAGTAAAAACAAGTTCTACCAGTGAGTAACACTTTACATGTAAATTATATCATATAAAGAAACATGTATTGACAGATTATTTTAGACAGGGTATGTTATACTTGTACAAAGCAATTCTACAAATGAGGGAAATATATCCTGCATAGGATAATGATCACGAATTCGTGAATTTTTAAACCAAATAAGAGAATGTAGAATGAAAAGATGCATTGGAGAATAAGGAATAAGTTTTATACTGGATATTTGCATACACTAAAAAAGAACATTTATTTACAATTTTTAATCACTAGTTATATTTAACTTTGGACATCCTAGTTCTTATTCATTAAGACCTTACCTGACACATCAGTATTCTAATGCAGATACAGGGGAAAGATTCACCGTGTTGGTCAAAATCCAAGTCAAAAGTCTGTTAGCATGTCTTGACTTCAGCACTTCTAAAAATGTAGTGAATGGAATGGAATAAAATACCATATAAAAGAAAGTATCAGAATGCATCTCAAGTAGCAAGGGTAGGTGTGGGTGTGGGTATGTGTGTGGACACTGAAGGTTGGATCATTACATAAAAGGAATTTAGTTTTTAGTGTGGATCATTCAAAACAGGATATAAACCACTGCTATAGGGAGTTGAAAAGCATCCTGCAGAGGCCAATGTCCTGGGTTTGAATCCTGAATACTAATGTCAAGTATGTTGCACTGGCATGTTATCTGAAATCTTTAAAATAACTGCACAATCAAATGATATCATAATTCATAACAGTTTCACAGATTTACTGGGATGATTGATTGAGTAAATATATGTGTAGGGGTAATAATGGTGCCTGGAACATATTAAATACAATGAATCAAGTCGATGTATCTTCTCTGTACTACATGCAGTAAAGAGCACTGACTATTTAGCAGTCCTTAGTATATCATATTTTTTTACTATAGATGTCAGAAAAATCTCTACCTTTAATACTATGGCTGCTAATGGAGACTCAGATTCTGGAAGTAAATCTTTAAACAGTTGTATAATCCACAGGACTACAGTGGGAAAGGGCTAGAGCCTAACTAGCCAGAGCCCTTGGAATTAAAGGCCTTTTGATTCCTTTCATTTTTCTTCTTGCCTCATGGAGGCAGGCCTCTAAGCCCACACTGGTCATTCACTTGTATTAAAATATTTGAAAAATCCTCTTTGGCTCCAGAAATATTTTATTGGAGATCAGTTGAGTGTTGAAATAATTTAATATGTGACTGGCAGTACCACGGTCTTTTGTTCGCTGATTTTCAGGACTTTGTAATACCCAGTTCACCAGTCTTTGGAAAACATATGAAGCCACAATGATTTCTGTTTATATAAAAAAAAAATCAGTAACAACTGTGATTCTTTCCAAAATTTATGCTTGATTTTTAGACACTTAATTTAATAAAACATAAAGTTTAATAGGCAACGACTATTACAGTGTCACTATTTTACACATCTTTTATAACCATTCCTATTTTTTCCACAAAAACATTAAGTTAGAATAATTCCACTGTTCTCTTTCTTGTGCTCTTTGAACCTTGTAGTTGATGTTTTGTCTATTAGGTCTTCTAACCTCTCCTTCCTCAGATACAACTCAGAAATAATTTCCTTTCCCTGTACTATATCCCTTTTACTTTTCTTATACTAATTTTACCAAAGGGTCAACTGCAAACTTTAAAGCATCACATTTAAGATACAAAATAAATACATCAGTGTTTTAAAACAATGCTGATAGCTGATAAATCAATTACTTGAATTGATATCTTGAAAAAGGGTAAGAAAATAATATATTAGACATCTAGTTTTCTAATGCTTTTTATGAGCATTACCACCTTCAAAGTAAATATAAATAGTTAAAATACAAGAATATCTCTTGTAAAACTATTAGAAAGTAATTATACTTGTGCTGTTTTCAGACAATTCTTTTTAATGTATGTTTCATATACATATAATTTAAAAATTTTAATATTTTAAAGCCCTCCAACCTGAATAATGTTCTGAAAACTTAGGTAGCAATGACATTGTGATCATGAATATTCATATATTTTAACAGGTAACTTTCTTTGAAAATAAATGCATGAAGGTTCAAAAGAATACCTTCAATTGTATAATCCACTAAAATCAACATTCACATATGTAGACCCTTATATGGATAATAAGTAGATTATTTAAATGTTATTCCCCTGGGGCAATGAGCACACATTGGGGAGCCTAGGGAGTGGTGCTGTGTGTACTTTTGTTGCAGGTAAATTCTTTATTGTGTGCTTCGGTTTCCTCAGTCATAAAGCAAGAAGAAAAGAACTAAGCCCCATGGGAAATGGTGAAGGCTAAGAAAATTGTTATACACAAATAACTTAGAACAAGGCCAGATATGTGAGCCATAAATGCTAGTTATATATTTATTAATTACTTCAGTAATGAGTATTACAAAAAAACCGTAGAACTCAGAATCTAAGACATTTTCATAATTTTATGTAGTCTAGTAATACTTCCTTTCCTGGGAAAGTATATTTAACAATTCTAGTTTAATATATTCCAGAATTTAATAGTTAATGTATGGTTAGAGGTTTTATTATGAAGGAAGATTCTTTAAGTAGGCAATGTTTCTAGACTATATATCTGAATTTGAAATGTGGAAAGATATTAAGGCTATAATCATCAAACTTAACTAGGCGAGAGTATCACTTAAATAGATGCAGTTTTATATCCCCCCCATAATTTCTGAATTCAAACTCTGGGTGAATGTACATATTAACCAGGTATTACAGGAGATTTTCACGCAGGTGGATAGACCTAGCAAAACACACTATGATTTTTTAAAAGCCATTTCCTTCAAAAATTGTCTCCAAATTTCTTCTATATGATGAATAATAGTACATAAATTTGTTTGATTTCACATGTAAACTCAGGCAGTAAACATTTTAAAAGGCTGTTCTTCAATTTTAAAAATATTACTAAGAAAACAGTATTCAAGAGAAATTTAGATCAAATAAAATTTTCTAAGTTTTTTTTTCTGTCAATAGATATTTCCAAATGCAAGATTAAAGAGAGAAAAAATGACAAAATGAAGAGAGTATGTGCAGAATGATTATATCTTCTTAAAAATAACTTCCTATGCTTTCAGTTGTACACATATAAAAATAAAAAAGGAAAGGATTAAGAGCAATAAAGTGGAACAAAGAGGCTTACTTATCCTGGTGAGCTGCCAGGATAATTTCATAATATTCTGCCTAGAAAAATATTGTGGTGGGGTAAAGGATAGTCAATATTAAAATCTTAACTGAGATTTAACTGATTAAAATTCATGTTGCAAATTGGCTATATTTTTATGGATTGCAGAAACATGCCTACTATGACATTTTTAATGGATACTAAATATTCATTAATGAACAGCTGAAGCAGCATCTACAAATAATTTTCATTGGTAATTGAAGAAAGAAAAAAAGAAGTCCTTATACCAAGAAATTGGCAAATTATGTTTTGCCTCACTGTTTACAGCTTGAGAAAAGTCACTGGTGATGGTCTCTTTAAAATTAGAATATGCTGCTTGGTACTGGGCTTATGCTCTCAGTGTGGCACCACTTCCTGCCTTCATGCTTGTCAGCCCTATCGGATCCTACTGACATGGGATGAAATCTTGTTATGCCAATTTCGGACACAGATGTAGCTTTCTCATTTGCTTCTTCAGTGTGTTAATTTTGTCTCCAGATTGGGAGTCCACACACCTGGCATTTCTTACCACCATACCCCAGACCTCCTGAGTAAAATCCAATATGGACATGAAACTTTTAAGAACATGCGAATGTAAAATGCAAAGCTTTCTTTTTCTTAAAATTAGCTGCTTATATAAGTATGCTTGAACTTTTGCCCCCCCTTACCTTTCTGCCTTATTTGCTGGCAATTTTAAAATTTGGATGCATGGTTGATACTAATAAAAATTTGCTTTTAACAAAAACAGTTTAACAAAACAATACTATATATTAAAGGAAGAAAACAATAAAGGAAGCATGAGTAAATTTCAAAGAATGATAAAATAGGGATTGCCAGAGTAATATTTGAGTAATCTAAAGTATATATTTAGAAGAATCACGTATGAGTAGCGTAGCATTCTAATCCATGAATTCTACACTCTTTTGTTTATCTCATATGGAGACGGCATTGCAAAGGACTTTTTCCCTTCTTCCTTTTCCTGTTTTGACACAAGAAAAGAGAAATATTGTGTTGTGCAGTATTCAATAACTACAAGTTAAGAAGGCAAGTATGCATCTTTTCACTGAAATGGACAAGTAGCTAGTTACGGGCCACTTGCAGAGATCATTTTCAAGCAGATCCATGTCACAACAGAATGATATGACAGAGACCCAAAAGATTCAGATCTTTTGGGAGAAAGGATAAAATGTATCTTTAGTCTCAAATAAGAGCCGGTTAGATTAATCTGTGACTGATGACAAGTGATATCCATGGACATAAAAAACATGTGTACTGAAATTGTTTTAAATTAGCTGTATATATTGATAAACGTCACATTAAAAAAACTTGCATTCTAAATTATATAATAACTAACTTTATTATTATATTTATAATGTTTGAGCTTTGGAGGAGGGATAGTTTAATGTATCATATACGAAAAGTATTGAGCTTATCTAGTTATATAATGGAAAGGGTTAGCTTAGTCACTTACACTTGGAAACACTCAGTTGCCAGTCAGTGGCAAATATACACATTATATTTATATATATTATATATTTATAATATATATGTATATATATTATATATTTATAATATATATGTGTGTATATTATATATTTATAATATATATGTGTGTATATTATATATTTATAATATATATGTGTGTATATTTATATATATATGAATGATAATTTAACTTTTAAACAAGAATTAAGATACATTATATAAAATATTATACATGATCACAGAGTCTGCCAATATCTTTGAAAATTCACCACTCAAACCGTTTCTTTCAGTTCCATTCATTAAATGATTATTTCTTGTGCTTTATGTTATGCATTTTTCTAGGTAGTGGAGACAGAAATAAGACTTGATGTCTGCTTTCATGCCATTTTGACTATTAAATAGATATATAAATAACTAAAAACAAGGCAGTAAGAACAAAAATTAATTATACTAATAAATTACTACAGATTCTAAAGAGAAGTATGGGTAAGATACTTTAAAGGCAAGGTCAACATATTCTGATGGGGTATCAGGTGGAGGGAGGAACAGAAAAAAGTTTACAGGGAAGGGTGATGATCCAGACGGGAATGGCAGAATGAAAGTAAAAACTAAAAATTTATGCCATCATAAGAAATTCCATCTCTAGAAGAAAACAATCCATGTTTTATTTATTTTATTTTTTTAAATCATTTCAGTCTTTAGTTTGTGGTATGGAGAATGGCATAAAATCACAAGGGAAATGCCTGTAAGAAGTACATCCTTGGCTTTTCAAAAGAACAAACAAAAAACAAACAGGAAAAGGCTTTACAGTCTAGTATTTCAAAATTAACTTATTAAAAGAAACAAAGAGTCAAAATAAGGTATAATTAAATAGTAAAAAATGCAAAGTTCATTTTAATAAAGCCATAAACTTGAAAAAATTAATTTGAGCTGCAAAGCTACGTAAGGAATAGTTTGTTCTTCAAAAGTATCTCATCTGTTTCCTGTTCATTTAACATAGTTTTGTAACTAAATACCAAACCTGGGAAGTGGAGGAAACTTGTGGCCCATTCGAAGTAAAGCGTCACTGCTCCCTTCTTGCCGCTGGCCGTGCGTGCCGGCAGCGCGCTCGTCTGTGCCCCTCGCAGAATTGAAGAAATCAAGGATTTCCTGCTCACGGCCTGGCGAAAGGATGCCAAGTCCGTCAAGATCAAGAAAAACAAGGATACCGTGAAATTTAAAATCCGCGGCAGCAGGTACCTTTACACCGTGGTCATCACAGACAAGGAGAAGGCAGAGAAACTGAAGCAGTCGCTGCCCCCAGGTTTGGCAGTAAAGGAGCTGAAATGAAACCGGCACACTGATTTGAACTATATTAAAATATTGAAAATTCAAATAAAAAAGAAAAAGAAACAAACAAAAAGTAAAGCGGCACTGAAAATATTTCCATGCTCCGAGCCAAAAGTAGTGTGTAAAGATTACTTCCATGGCTCAACAGAGAAGAATAAATACTACTCAGAAATAAGCAAGTTTGCAAGAAGCTAGTAAACAGTTAAAACAAAGAAAGGTAAGGCCACAATTCTGCCCATGATCACTGAAACAGTTTGAAGTGTGAGGCAGGGTCAGGCCTAACCAGAGTGCAGGAACGGAAGCAAGGGAAAACGGTGAGCCTTGCACAGAAGGCAGACACACAATCTGAATGCACCTAAATCTCAACTGAATGGAAAAGAAATGTTTTCTGAGAAGGAGACATTTGTGGAGATAGTACTGAAGAAGAGAAGACACAGAAGCCAGGAGAGATATGGAAAGAGAAATTACATTTGCAGTTTTATAATCTCACAACTGTCTGTTCTAAAGTACTGTCTTCCAAGCTATTTGAGTTGGTCATCTAATAAAACCTTCTTGTTTTAAGGTTACAAAGATGTTTTGAATTAGGCTACCAAGAAAAAAAGAAAAAAAAGTAAACAAACACATGCTTTTGCTGAGGTTTTCTCATTATACAATAAGGGCACCAACTGGTAGCAAATACTTCTCATGATATTTTTTTGTTGCTGTCGTCATATGCCAACAAGGCAGAAGACACTGTGCTGAAGGAGATCACTGGGAACATTCCAAGCTCAAAATAAAATGTTTAACTTACACATAATACAAGTTATGTACAAGATTAGGAGGGGGGGACCTGCACAAATCTGGACATGTAGATACATTTACACATGGGCAAAGGGGAGAGAACACTTCAAATACCAACTAGTTTGCACCATTCATTCATTGATGACTTAATGCCCACATTTAATTCCACGTAAATATTAGAACCTCTTGGAAAACCACTATAAATACAACAACCCATGTTTTAAAACTGTTTCTAGAACAACTGTTACAAATTGGTTATGAACAAATAAATTTGGATATTTAAAAATATAATCTAGAGCCTATCTGCATTAGCTCATGACTTTACCATCATGAATATGATTCAAAAGGCCATTCATAAAAATCAGGGTGCATTTTTTTTCTGGATTAAAAAGATGATTTTTGTCTTGCTGTCACTATACCTAAAACAATTCTTCAAATCTCCAATTTAGTTTTTGTTTTATGAAGTGTTCTCAGAAGAAAGCTTGTTCAGCAAAATACCTGTTTGGAGATTGCTAAAAGTGGAATTTCACTAATATTATTTTAATATGTGGATAAAGTAAAATAACTGATTAAAAAATCTCCTTATTTTGGGCGACAAGGTCTTCACTGGATATCTACAAGAAGATAATGTAAGTGAAAAGATAATTAGAGATAAAGGTTTGAAAGATAAAATAAATAAATAGGTGAATTGTAAGGAAATAGGATGATGCATAAATGATTTCAAGTAAGAGAAGATATGAAGGTCAAAAGTATGTGGAGATGCTAGGCTGAGAGAGATGTTAGATGCTTTCTATTTATTTTACTGATAAGAAGCATATCTGTAAGCAGATCGATTCAGAAAGTATGAGTATTAAATTGATCATCTGAAAATTATCCTAGGTAATATGGAGGTGATACAGGAATCATCTTTTTAATCAGAAAATTGGTCATTAAAATATAATTCAAGATGCAAATGATTCTAGAAATATTAAGGTAAAGATGGAGAATAAGCCTGAAAAAATCAGGTCATCTTTATTCAACATATACTCACTGAGTAACCATAGTCTACCTACCAAAACTAGGATTGGGCTGGAAAAAAATGAATGTCCCTCAGTTGCTAAAACTTTGATTCATGAGTTTTTAAGTTGTAACTCTTTATTTCTAAGCAGAAATTAATAGACTAATAAAATTACTATTATAAATACTATAAAATACTATGAGCTATAGAGAAGATAATGATTTTGCAGTAATTACCATGTGATGGAAATGAAACTACTAGAATCAAGGACACATTGAGAGGTTTTAGTAAGAGAGTAGATCACTTATTTACCAGAAATGGGAGTGAAAAAGAGGAAACTGAAAAAAAAGAGTTTTTAGTGGAAAGAACCTCAAAACAAAACAAAACAACCACCACAACAAACAAATGTCATGAGGCTTGGCCAGGAAATACCATATTTAAGTACAATATTCCTGAAGAAATTATTTTTACTCTGAGTGTTAATTAAACGGGTATACTTCATTAGCTACATAAAATATTTTATTCAGAGTATTTATTGAAGTAACAAGTAGACATTTTGAAAAAATCAATATATAACTGACTTAAATTAGTGGTATAGTACTTATGCATGAGGAAAAAAAAATCACAAAATGTTTTATGACTCATCTGGTTCATATTAGGAAGTACTTTTGAAGAGTTTTTAAAACACCATAAACTTACAATTGCAAGAGTAAAGTCAATCAAGATTACCTTGCTAATCTTTCTATAATGCAATTGTAAAGTATTGGAAATCCACATACATGTGACTATGAAGCGTTTTGGGAAAATATAAATAAAAAACCTTTAACCTTGAGTGTGTGTGTGTGTGTGTGTTTGTGTGTGTGTGTGTGTGTTTCAAAGAGTCAATTGTCATGAATCTGATCAACATGATTAGATTATGATGTTTTGTGCAAAGGGTAAGATTATATTTAAATATTGGAACTATAAGAAAAATCTATTTTATTTTAAATCACATATTAAAACACAAGGGAATGCATATTGAGCAAATAGAACACATAGCTGTCAGTGCAATTAAAATTTAAGTTGGCATCTTAGAGATGACAAAATGAAATCGTTTTTCATAAATCAAATTACTTAATGCAATATCCATACAAACACTGGAAAAGGAGAAGTTTCCTAGCTTAGCTGTTTGGAAAGCAAAGCAAACATTAAACACACTTTCCTAACATGTAAACATTTTTAAATTGTCTATCTTATAGGTAAACCACTCTGCTGTAGCAGCAGATCCTGGCTTTATTGGTGTATATTTAAGTGACTTCAGTCCACATTCTTTTAACTTAAAAGTTCACAGGGGTACCTGGGCATCTCAGTTGGTTAAGCATCCGACTTTTGATTTAGGCTCAGGTCATGATCTCACCATTCGTGGACTTGAGCCCAATGTTGGACTCCCTACTGACAGTTCTTATGATTCTCTCTCCCTCTAACTCTCCCTCCATCCAACTCTCCAAAAATTAAATAAATAAACATTAAAAAAAAAGTTCATAAGCCATGCTATTTTATCAATCAAAGGTCAGTCAGGAGACACAATCCTCCTTAGTACTTTGTACAGAGAGAATTTAATATGTGATTGTTAACTAAGTACAAGTTTTTAACTAAGTAACAGAATGGGTAAAAGAAGAACTCAGGCATCATGAAAGTAGGGACCTTATGTAGCAGCTGCCACTCCAGGGATGAAGGAATAGAGACAATATTGGAATTATTAAAATTCTAAAATTTAGGGGAGGGTCCTGACAAGCTGAAACTCAGGTCTTAGCTGATGTGGTTCCTGTCACAGGAGGAGTCCCATGGTGCTAAGATTCCTACTTACAAGGAGGAAGCATCTGTTACTTGGTGCATATGTCTTTGAAAGAGTACAACAAAGCTATTTTTATAAATGTTTGGAAAAGCTCAAACTGTCCAGCTACTGCTCCAGGAAGGAACTGTTTCTGCCAAGGTGAAATGGGGCTGGGATGATGCTCACAGAAACTGCAAGTCTCCAACTCTCCATCTGCACCCCTGCTGAAAAAGCATAACAGGGAGGAGCTGGCAAGGTGAAAAATGGAAGAGCCAGTTGGGAGCTGAGAAGAAATAATTTAATAACCTGTTTAGCACTGAATCCTGTACCAGAGGATTAAAAGTAGTTCTTGAGGTAAATGTCAATAAATTTAATTTAATATCATACATCAAGAAATTTATTCTTCATTAGAATCAAGCCTAGATTTAAATGAATCCAGTAGTGGTTTGACCATTAGTACAAATAGTGATGTAAGTGCAATATCAAAATCAAAATGTAATCATGATATCATATACTTAAACAATGAAGAATCATAGGGAACATTTTTAAAGGTGAAAATATTTCAAAGGATCCTTACATAACTTGCCCAAACTCATTACAATGACTACGGATGGAAAGAAAATTACAACTCACTTTTTTGACTCTTGTTTTCTACTTGTTAGAATACGAGTCTCCTCTATTCACTTGCAAATACGTAATATTGGCAGCAAAAAAAGATTTTTAGTATCTTTTCTTTTGATATAAGGAAAGTGATGAGACTGTAAGAAGTTAAATGACTATAAAATCATAAACAAGTCAGTACTATCTTCCCATCTAAAACTTTTCCCTCTACTTCATGCTCTGTTTTCTACTTTTGTTGTAAATATGAATCAGTTATGGGGAAAAGCCAGGAAAAACCCATTAATTATTATTTTCTTACTATCTATGGACTGAATCCTTAAACATAATATTTAGATATTAAATATATTTAGATAATTATAAATGTGCCATATGTCTTCAGAATGTATCATTGAGATACTGTAAAACCTAATCAACTGCTCCTTGAGTCTAGATGTAGAATTTGTAGAAGAAACTGACAGTACAGAAAATCAGTAATCTACCAATATGTCTGTATTAGTTATCTATTGCTGTTATAAATTATCTCCAAGCTAAAAGTCTGACAACAAAAGAGAGAATCTGACAGCTTCTGTGGCTCAGGAATCATATCTGGCTTAGGGAGGTCCTCTACCTTAGGGGCTGTCACAAGGCTGTGATCAAGGTGTTCACTAGGCTGCAAGCATCTCAAGGTTTGACAGGAGGGAATTCATTCTTTAGTTCATATGGCTCTTGGGAGGCTATAAATCCTCAATGACTACTGATTTGCTTGAGAAGATCTACTTCCAACTCACATGACTGTCAGCAAGCCCCAGGTTCTCACTGGCTGTTGGCCAAAGAACATCACTCCC